GGTAAACTTATTCTGTTAAGTTAACATCCTCTTTCTCTTTAATTATTTGTTAATTTCATTATTTAATCGTTCTGGTTGTGCATGATTCATTACACGCAATCCATGACGTACATGGCTCTTTTGAGGAACTCGTGGCTTGGACTAGATTGCTACATTACAGCCTGCAATTTTGGACCGTAGTTGGCCTAATTTCGTTGGTCCTTAAAACCAAAAGGGAGCACTTGTACTATTACAATTTCCCTTTGACAATTCTTCGGTCTTCAGCATGCAACTTAGAATAGGGTTTTGGGAACAATAATGATAATTTAGAGGCATCCTAGAGGACCTAATCCCAATAATGTAGATGTGTTATTGTCCTTTAAGAGATAGTCTAAATTACAAGAGATAGGAGGTTTCTCACATACATCACCAACGTGCTATGAGAATTCAAATCTGAGACCGCTAATCTGCAAGTCAAGATCCCGTTAGCAGATGTGTTATGGTCCTAAACATATTATTTTAACCTAAGTTCCTAATGCGGATGTGTTTAATTATAAGAATTCTTGGTATAATATCCTAGTTACGTCTCTTTCGTCGTACAGTTAGGTAAAATGCTAAATAGGTAGCCCACTATAGAAAAGTCTGTCCTTGGAAACAACATCTAAACTAAGTTAAAGCCACATATTGGCTATTCTACAACTTTCCATTAATTTAGTTGCCTACTCTGAGAAAAGTATATGTTTAAAGATTCAAAAGTCTAAGTATAAGAATAATTCTTGCACCATATTTTTGTGGAAGGTTTCAACAACTTGAAAACTAGCGGCCAAGCACAATTTCTAGTCCAATGCCAGCAAGAGACAATTTCTGTGGGTCCACACAATTGTGGGTGTGAAAGTGGGGCCTAGAGAAATTTCTGAATCCCATTTTATTTACAGTGAGAGGTGGATGGATGCAATGTGTTTGTCCCGTGGAGGTTTTACTTATGGTGTCGGAAAAAGAGGAAGTTGAATTTTGAATGCTTATTAAAAGGGGGCAGAACCCTTCATACTAATCTCTATTTGCTTAAGCATGTTACAGAAATTGTAGAAAGCTTTGAGGTTTTCATCATGACAAAGCAAGGACTATAAATACTGCACAAATCAATAGGGCGAGAACAGAAGTTATTTCTTGCTTAATTATCATTTCCAACCCTATTATATTTTGAATCATCCATCCCTATGTTTCGAAATATATATATATGTATAGAAATGACATCAATAAACTCATTCCGTGAAACCAATGCAAAATGTATAACATTGTTTTAGAAAAGAAAAGTTCATGACCCTTCAAGAAATAGTCCACGTACATCTTTTTTATCAAACAATATTGTGTAGGAGTGCAAGTTGGATTAGAAATTCTGAGTAATTTTTTGTTGAACTAAACATGATTTAATGATCAAATAGACATAGACAAGTTGTTCTTTAAAGGATAACATCTAAATACTAGCACATAAATGTTTTTTCAAGTTTTCAGTATGAGTTTTTAAGTATGAGTCAATTTTAACCTTTCAAATGGTTGGGCGTGTTTACAAGTTTGAAATACTTTCCGAAAATTTCCAAAAAAATTCCAAAGTATGTCTGTTCTGAAATTTTCCAAAAAGTCAGAAAATTCTGGGTTTTTTGAAATTAGAATGGATGTTGAAATTCTAAACTTTTTTGGAACGGAATTGGAAAAGAATTTTCATTCCGAAATTTTTTGGATTGGAATCCCTTGATTCCAATATTTCCCGTCCGAAAATAAGATATAATATTTCAAGATGGGATCAAAGGTGAATTCGAGACTTCATGTGTACATAGAATAAATACTCTTAATCACTTTACACTCTCTTTTCTGTCGAGAGTCGTTATATACTTCATAAAAAGAGAACTTTTGAGGATCTAGCTAGTGTGTGAGTGAGAGAGGGAGGTGGAGAAAGCGAGAGATGTCATAGATCTTTGAATTTTGAATGCTTAATGAATTAATGTGTGCTTTACAAAAACATATGAGGGTTTCATTCAGTTTCACTGCAGACATGAAGGAGACATTATCCATGTCTGCCTCAACAGGTCTCAGGTAGTTTTCATGAACCCCACATGCCCCCCACTACATGCATAAATATATGCTTCTCTTCTGGATTATAGAAGATGCAGGGTCATTGGCAACCAGCCACCACAGCCACAGCCACAGCCAGCCACTCATCAATTTAGTCTTTAGATGTTATGTCTCCTCCTACCTGCAAACCTATAAATTAAATATGCACCTACATTTTTGTGCTTTCCCTTCCATCTCCTGCCTTATCTTATCTGGATTCTGGAGCACATAAGTTTCGACAGCGCCACAAATTGTTATAAAAAAATATATATCATTTTGGTGAGTGGATTTTGCACTATTGTCTAATTCGCACGTGTTCTTTTTAATTTCTTAATTTTAAGGTCATTTGCATGTATTAATTATTATTATTATTTAAATCTACGATAACAATTTAAATTTTGAAACTTTTCTCTCAACTTTTAGTGGATTCCAGAATCTTTACTTTAGGTTTTCAGGATTTCATTAGCTAGATTGATATCTATATCTAGTCTTATCGTGCTTTCTTTCTTTCTTCTTTGCTGGCTTCACTGATTTGATCAATTAATAAAAATGAAACAAAATAGTACACAAGAAATTATTTGGCTCATCAAAAGAATATCTTGTCAATTCACACGGTATTCTTGTTGTTCTGGTTGCATCACTTGTTTCGAGAATTGATTCAATCAGATTTTTTTCACCAAATTTATGAAAGTCGTATACAAGTTACAACGAAACATATAAAAAGTGTTATTCTCTTTAGAAACTCAACTTCTTACACTTTTAATCAATGTCGCCGGCCCTGAGGTGGTGCAGGGGTGTCACTTATATATTGTGTAGCAGCAATATAAATATGTTTATATACGGTGAGCTTATTTTCAGTAAGTTGGAATCCCGTTCCCATTGCCCCAAAATATTCATACCAACAGTAATATTCAACTTAGGTGTTACAATGTTGTGGTAAAAAAGTTTATTTTTATAATTTTACCTCTTTTAATAGAATTAGGCCTGTGACGCACAAAACGACGTCAGAGCGACTTCATCTTTTGTTCATCACACTGGCAAACGCCAAAATTGGAGGCGTAGTACGCGGGTGGAGAGAGAGACCAACAAGGAGGCGGGAATCAAGGAATGGCCGTACACGTGTGTGGTGGGGATGTGGCTCATCCACGTGGGAAGTAGGCTGGCTATGATGAAGGTTGTGGGCCCCTCCCAAGCTTATGCTGTGAGCTTAATATGTGTTGGGGCCGTGGGGGCGGTGGGCTTGGCCCTCTCATCTCTGTTCTTCTTCTCTCCCAGTCACAGTGAGAGAGAGAGAGAGAGAGAGAGAGAGAAGGCAAGTTGTACAAAAGGCAATCATTTGATGTGGGGGGTGATGCTTTTCAGTGGTTTTGCTAGTCCCCATGGAGATTATGTCTGATGCTGACACCTTTGGCCATTCTGATGCCTTTGGCCCCCTTCCATCCATCACCACCAAGCAACCATAAAAAGCTATAATGTACTGTAATTCCCTCTCATCTCACAGCCTTTTGAGCCAGAAAAACTTATTGCAAGGGAGACAACAAAAAGTATCACTATTTTGCTATACTCGATCAATAATGTTATGTTATGTGGAAGTGTTATAGCGTTATTGATCGAGCATAATGAAATAGTGTTATCCATGTTTTATGGAAGTCTTTCTCCTTTGAGTCACATCAACTTAATCGTTAATAATAAGGATTAGAGCTTAATATTATCTCTTGACACATACTAAACAATACTTACAACTAAACGAATCAATTTGTTCATGGTTCAAATTCATTGTCTAACACCGCAAAATGTGTTGTCTGACAATTTAGTAAGGAAGTATTTTATCTAAAGTAGAATTTTCACAAATATAAAGGCATTTGAATTTTACATGCATGACACCTAATTTAGGTATGACTAGGTGTGAGAGATTGCTGATATTCAGAATATACTTTGAAGTCCCTTGTATTCGATAAGATGATGGTGTGAGATTCCCTTGATATTCAAGAAAAATACACAATCATTTGTTATTTGTGAGAGGATGGACCCTAAGAGTTATTTTCGTTATGAAAAAACAAGTCCAATTTAACGTTGAATTTTGTCAAATGTTGATATCAAATGTGGAATATTTGTTTGAATGCATGCTTTAGTTTAACATTATCAAAATGTAGTTTGCGAAAAAGGGTACTACCCAATATGAACGTTTTTCTTGTTACATTAATTTGTGAGTTTTATGTGGAACTTTGAATTGGATTTTTTTTTGGAGGGTCAAATTGTGAATTTAAGATCATAGAATGAAAGTGCATATTACGAAGAGTTCATAGTATTTTTCAGTGAATTTTGAATATGGAGGTCCCAAAGCTTGGACTGAGTCCGTGGTCGAACGGAAGAGTCGAGTGGCCGGGTCCAAGTCAGGAGATCCCAACTAACGAGTTTTGGTAACTGGAGCACAATACATGTGTGGCGTAAAATTGGTGAATGACAAAGGAGTGCACAAAAAATGAAAAATGAAATCACTTTAAAGTTGTTTTAAAAACTAAAGGTATTTGAGAACTAGATTTCACCTTTTTGAAAACTACAAACGAAATTTGTTACCAAATATGTTTTCAATTTTCCAAAAAAAGTGAAATTGAAAATGAAATGTTATCAAACAACCCTAAATCGCACAAATCAGAATTCACAAATCTTCAATGCTAGGGAAATGCTAATATAGGATAAGGATTAGACACATGGTGGGCTTCGAATTAAATGGGTCCAAGCCCATTTCGAGACCTACCAAAGAGATAAGTATCACAAATTCAAAAGAGTACCGGGAAACGTTGAGAAGCTGAAGCCCGCCAAAGAGCGCCAGAAACCGGTCCCCTCCCTTCCTACCTGCCTAGCTGGCAAGGCCCAACGCCTCAAACCCTGCCACGTGTCACCAACCCTCTTCTCCAAAGTCAAGCAGTGGACTATTCATCCCTCCCACAGACAAAGCCTCAGACAACGAAACCATACCGCAGGCAACGCCAATTTCAATTTCATTTCAAATTTCACCCTAAACTCTTCGACTCTCTCTCTCTGTCTTCATCTTCAAAACCCAAAAAACCAGAGACCTAAAATTCATCAATAAAAATGAAAATGAAGGCAGAGGCTTTGACGTTGCTGCTGGTCAACTTGGCCGGAATCATGGAGAGAGCCGACGAGTCGTTGTTGCCTGGCGTCTACAAGGAGGTTGGCGCAGCTCTGCACACCGACCCGACTGGGCTCGGCTCGCTCACTCTCTTCAGGTCCATTGTGCAGTCGGCTTGCTACCCAGTAGCGGCCTACCTGGCGGTGCGCCACAACCGGGCCCACGTCATCGCCCTCGGTGCCTTTCTCTGGGCCGCCGCTACTTTCCTCGTCGCATTTTCCTCCACTTTCTTTGAGGTAATTTTGACTTTTTCTCGGTTGCCAAAAAGAAAGATTGTGCCTTTATTGGATTGTGATTTTCAGTTTGTGAAGTTGTCAATTGGGTTTGCTGAGAACGGTGATTTTGATGCGACTGTTGAGCGGGAGATTTAGATTACTATTTATAGTAATTATGGGTTCTCTTTTGAATTTAGTAGTGGATCAGTCTTTAGCAAGGTAATTGTGATATGAGTTATAATTGCCAATTAGGCTTAAAAATGAGTTGGTGCAAGAACTGCTGAGACTCAATGAGCTTGTGCTTCAAATTCTGGCCTGAGAAAATAATAATCTAACTTGAAAGGGAAGAGTTTGGGGATGTTTATTTCCATTTCTAGTATATTCTATGCGTGTCACAAGTGGAGAACTTCTTGAGACTCTTAGGGGAGGAAAAGAAAAGAAAAGAACTAAATTTACTTGTTGCTTTGGTTGCTAGCAAAATGGACGGTTTACATTACCTATGCAAGTAGTTGTTGTAAAAGCTTGATTTGAGCACAATTGAGTAGTTGTAGGTAATACATTTCTGTTTCTCTTGTTTCTGGATATGCTTGACCATTCAAATAGACACAGTGAAATTTATTGCTCAATAAATCATGGTATTTTACTACTTGAAGTGTAGTTGGAATTACCATTCTATTGGCAGGTCAGAAGCAATGGTGTGTTCTGTGAGTAGCCTTATAAATATTTATTATTATTATTTTAAAAAGAGCTCACAGAAGCTTAAAATTTGGTGTGAGTTGTTTCAAATTGGAATATTTTGATACAAAAAGTGGATTCATCACCAAAGTTTCTGAGAAGTGAAAAAAGATGTTTTCCACTTTTTTCCTTTGTTTTTCTTTAAATGATACCCAAAGTCTTACTTGCCTACAGTCTCTAATGCCTTCCTCATAAAATAAAATAAAACAAAAACCCAAGGACCATGCATGAGCGTAATTGTTTGTTATGAAATAGAGCTGTGACAAGTTAATTTATTATAGTCAGTCGTTCCCCAAAGCATTCATTTGAACCAATTGATAAGAAAGGGTGAATAACTGAAGTTATCAAAACAGAAAGAGGGAAGTATCATTATTTTTAGTATTCCAGCTTGTTTTAGTCACTTTGAAGTCATTCAGCTTTTACTAATCAGGTGGCTATATCCAGAGCTTTGAATGGGATTGGCCTTGCTCTAGTTGCTCCTGCTATGCAGTCCCTTGTAGCCGACTCAACTGATGACAGGAACCGAGGTACGGCTTTTGGATGGCTTCAGCTAACTGGAAACCTTGGTTCGATAATTGGCGGGCTTTGTTCCATATTGATAGCTCCAATAACTTTCATGGGAATTCCTGGCTGGAGGATTTCCTTTCACCTTGTTGGACTAATTAGTGTTCTAGTCGGCATTTTAGTCCGTCTGTATGCCACTGACCCGCACTTTCCAGATGGTGAAACAAAAGATAGCAGTCAGACTTCTGGTAATTCCTTGTGGTCACAAGTCAAGGAGCTAGCTCAAGAAGCCAAGTCAGTTATTAAAATTCCTTCTTTCCAGATTGTTGTGGCACAAGGTGTTACTGGTTCATTTCCCTGGTCAGCATTGTCATTTGCGCCCATGTGGCTGGAACTTACTGGATTCTCTCATGGAAAATCTGCTTTCCTTATCGCCTTGTTTGTAATTGGTAGTTCGCTTGGGGGCCTGTTTGGAGGTAAAATGGGGGATATCCTTTCCATCCGTCTACCAAATGCAGGAAGGATAATACTAGCCCAGATAAGCTCTGCATCTGCCATCCCTCTAGCAGCAATTCTTCTGCTTGTATTACCTGATAATCCATCTACAGCTGTCATCCATGGTTTGGTCTTGTTCATTATGGGATTCTTAATATCTTGGAATGGTCCAGCTACAAACAAGTAAGTCGCTAAAACTTTATTCTCTGGTTTCTGGTCTTTAATGTCTGCTACATTATTATGGAAAGTAAAACAAAGGAAAAAGATTAAAGTTTTAAATCCAATGCCATGGTCCATGCAGTCCAATTTTTGCGGAGATAGTTCCTGAGAGGTCCAGAACAAATGTATATGCTTTGGACAGATCTTTCGAGTCCATACTCTCATCATTCGCTCCTCCAGTAGTTGGGATATTGGCTCAGCATGTTTATGGTTATATACCAGTTGCTGAAGGGTCCAGTGCATCTGAAGAGATTGCCACAGATAGAGGGAATGCTTCATCGTTGGCAAAAGCACTCTACACAGCAATAGGAATTCCAATGGCTCTCTGTTGTGTTATCTACTCATTCCTATATTGCACCTACCCGAGAGACAGGGAGCGGGCTCAGATGGACGCTTTAATAGAATCAGAGATGCAACAAATAGAATTAGAGAATTCACATACAGGAGAAGAATATTCACGTGTTCGGTTTCCTGAGTCGGAAGAGCCATATGTGAACGATAGAACTGTCATTGAAGTGGACTATGAGGGCGAGGATGCTCTGGATGCTGATGCTGATGATGACGAGCAGACATTGCTGTACCGTCAGTTAACATTCTCCAATTTGAGCCCACTGTAATCTAACCCAGATTTCACTGATCATTCAAACTCCATTCAAGCACATCCACAGAAGAATTATATCCGTTCGGTTTTGACCTTCAACTAGAAATTACATGTGCATGCACTGGAGAGAACATCCGCAATACTAACCAACTGCAGAGTTCCACTACATTCTACAGGTTCATGGTTTCTCTGCAACCTTTCTTGTCATTCTGTTTACTGTTTAGAGTCTCCTTTCTTGAGGGAAGGTTGGGTACAATGGCTGTACCACGTCAACAATGCTTACATGATATAACAACCAATAATGAGATGACATAATCATATGGTGAGAATCATATTGTTTGTTCATATGAATCTCACTTGGAAATAATATGGATTCTACCATAAACTGTTATGTGTAATTTTATTAATTGGTTTACATTGTCACCATAAGACATTCAAAATACCGGAATGTAAATAGCGAGTAATATTACTGACACTTATGTTTCTATCCATAAACTCGGTATACAATGCTTAGGAGATCCATATGGCAAAAGGAAGCTTAATTAATTGGGTTTTGTAGCAGAGACCATCACAAAAGCCCTGTTCCTAACGCTCGTAAAACCGACTAGACCACATACATTGCAGAGATCTTCCAATTCACTGTAAGATACGAACTGTTGGTTGCCCGTTATATGACTAATGTTCTAGAAAAGAAAAGAAAACCACCTATATTATAACATGTTGATTAGTAACACCACGTGATGGTGTGACGATCACATCCAACCTAAGATATTTTCTAGAACTAGAGCCATGCGGCAGGTTCTTAATAGAAGATGCATACCAGGCTTACATCCCTTAAAAATGGGACAAAAGCAAAGGGCCTTCAAATATGTAAGTAGTGGCAACAAATACCCCACCAGGTCGCAAAACTCGACTAATATCAGCAACCTTCAAAACCATAGCTGCCAAATTACTCACAGAATGTACTGGTGAAACCAAAAATCCAAAAAGAAGGATATACTTACAGCTGTTGATGGTGAAGGTCAACAATGTAGGGCAGTACCAGCATGCACTGCCTCAACAGAACTTGTAGCAAAGGGAGGCCTAGAAATGTCAGCTCTGACCAAAACTAAGTTCCTAAAATAAAAAACTTAATAAGACATAAAATTTTCAAAATTGATTGCAGACATTTTGGGAAAGTTCCCTCAGAGGAACTAAAAGCATTGAAACTTTTAGTAGTTTTATCGTCTATATTATCCTCCTGTTGAATGAATTCATGGCACTGCTGCAACATGTTTTCTGAGTAGTCCAGAGCAACAACGAGAGAAAACAATCCGCTCCTGGCGAAAGTCTAGAAAATAATCCACTGCCACAGCTAGTATCAATGATACTTCCACGGTAGACCGGCTTTAAGAAATCCTTAGCCAACTCAGACTGCAGTTATAACAGTTAGCAACACAACAGCTTCCTTTCAACATTTCAAACAACCACATTGCATGTTTGGCAGCAACACAATGAGTCTATCTGTTTGTTTTTTCATGGAGTGATCAACGGTCCCTAATAATGGTTTTAAAAAAAAAAATTGGGTCGAAAGAGTCCCTAATAATGGATTAAAGCATACAGGAATGTTGTTTCTTGTGGTGGCCTCATTTTGAACCACAGTTGGATCTCAGTTCAAGATTGAATTTATCCGTACAACTTTATTTCATTAATTATCATTCAAGGCAAATGGAGCAAGAAAAGAAAAAGCTCTTAATTTTTTTTTTCTCCTTTCTTTTCCAGCCGTTTTCTCTGCAACCGAACAGAGAACCTGAAAGAAGAAGCTAGAACAACGTACTGTTGGTGTGGTGTCGACCAAGGAGGTGGAAGAAGAAGCTCTAACGTTAGTTGCCGTGAAGGAGCGTTTAAAGTGAAATAATTGAGTAAGTTATTTCCCAAAAGATACAGAATACCTTTTCTTTATGAGTAAGTTGTAGAACTACAAACACCAGATAAATTTCCAATTTTTGAATACCATCTGATGTAGTATTTATGTTTCTTTATGACGACCAACTTCCATAGGAACAAATTCAAATGCCTATACAATTCTATACAAGCAAGGGAGATGCTTGTGGCTTAACTGGGTTTTGTAGCAGAAATCATCACAAAGAGCCCATTCCTCAAGCAGGTATAACCAACTAGCCCACATGCTTTGCAGAGATCTTCTAATTCACGTTCAGATGTGAAGATTTGGCTGCCTGATATTTGCTTTGTTCTCTGCAAACAAAAGAGATAAAATCAAAAGATTCAAAACCCAGTGAAATACCTAAAACCATCCACTACATGAGGCACATTCAGCAGAATGACAGAACTGTAGGCATGCAGGTTCTGAGTTAGGGAAAGATGTACCTGAGTTATATTCCTCAAAAATGGGATATAAGATAAAGGCCCATCAAGTATGTAAGTAGTTGCAACAAACACACCACCGGGTCTCAGAACTCGACTGATTTCAGCAACCTTCAAAACCACAGCTACCAAATTACTCAAAGCAAGTACTGGTTAAACTAAAAGCCAGAAGAAAAACAGAAGAAAAAAGACGCATTCATGCTGATAATAGTAATTTTCCTGGCCTGGCCAGAAAATATCAGTACTTTCAAATCAAAATGAATACTTCATCACTGCCTGATGCGTCCTGATATGTTAAGATTTAAGCCTTACAGGTAGCTGGAGCAAGCAGAACAGGTAGCTTTAACACCATATGTAAATAAGTACTTACAGCTGTTGATGGTGAAGGCCAACAGTGTAGGGCAGCACCAGCATGCACAGCATCAACAGAACTTGTAGCAAAGGGAAGCCTAGAAATATCAGCTCTGACCAAAATTATGTTCCTAATAACAAACAAACTTAATCAGGAATAAATTTTCAAAATTGATAACAAAACTTTGGAGAGATCCACTAATAGCATTTCAAACTTTCAGCAGCTTTATCATCTAAATTTGAATGAAAGCATCAAGTTCTGTACTCTTCTGGGAAATTCTCCTCCTTCTTAATGAATTCATAGGTCTGTTTCAACATGTTCTCCGAGTAGTCCAAAGCAACAACAAGAGAAAATAATCCACTCTTTGCAAAAAGTCTAGAAAGTAGCCCACTCCCACAACTTGCATCAATGATATTTCCACCCAAGACCGGCTTTAAGAAATCCTTAATCAACTCAAACTGCAGTCAAAATATGGTGCGGTTAGCAACTCGACAACCTCCTTTTGCGAGATAAATCAAGCACAGAATAGTAAAATTTGATTTATATTTTCAGCATTCAAACAACCACATTGCATATTTGGCAGCAACACAATGGATCTATCTGTTTTTCCATGCAGTGATAAAGAAATTGATCATCTCACCTCTTTCTCTGGGCCGGGAAAACCACCCCAGACAGAAAAGCTTTGACGCCAGCCCCTCTCATAGAGGAATGATACCAACGGAGTCCTGATCCAAGAAAAAGTCAGTAGCCATTATAAAGAGATGCAAATCAACATATTCATGAGGTATTAGAAACTAGTCTTAATAATGCTTCAAAGAGTTTAATGTGGTTGCTGCAATCAATTGGACTAGGTTCATGCCATAAAAGGTAAAAGTAATAAAGTTGAACACAACTTGTCTATGTGCACAGTTTTTTGGTTCAGAGTATTGAATGTCATGTATAAAATCATACATGAGAAGTAAGTACATCAACTTCCTTATCTCCCTTGTATGACAGATGTATAGTTCCGGGAAACACTAAAACTGGAAAAGGAATACTAAACTTCAAAGAAGATACATGATCTCGGAACAACTGTATCAAATCAGGCCACTAAAGATCAATATAGTAAACATCATATGTTATTCTGGCATTATAAGCCCTTAAAAATTGAGCCAAATGTTCTCATTCTTGTGCAATATATACTCCCAGTCTCCCAGATACGAATAAACTTAAAGGACTCACGTGTGACTACTTCAACTCCATTGATCAGATCACCATCCTCAATTTAAATTCATTGTGAAGATGTACCACAAAATTGTTGTGAAGTGATAGCTATACAATTTCAATACCTGAAAAGCTCTGTGGAAACCGGCATTGATTCACCATAGTTCTTGGAGCCACTGGCTGTTGTCAGGTCAATATGTGTTTGATTGCCAAAGTAAGTCTTCTTACAAGTGCTACATTGAAAACTAGACCCGGAAGCGGAGTCCCTGTAAATCCAAACAACAAAGCATACCACTCCCCAAATTAACAAAAAAAGAAAAGAGGGAAATAGAAAAAAGCAAGTCAAAATAAAACAATGCAACCTCAAGTAATTCAAAATAGAATAAGCAGTTTCTCCCTTTTTCATCCAAAAAAAAAGAAAAAAGAATAAGCAGTGATTGGAATCACTTACACAGATAAGCCCGGATCACCGGAACTCGAAAATTGGTCGAAGCATATAGGACAAGCTAAAATGTTATTGCTGCTGGTGGTGACCTCATTTTGAACCAGAATTGGATTTGTATCCTATTGTTTATGATGAAAGCAAATAAATTTTAAATTCAATGTCAAATATAAACAGTACCCCATTTAAAATTAAATTAATCCAAACACGTTTGACTCTTATTGAGGGCAATAGAACAGTAGAAAAGAAAAAGCTCAAAAATTTGTTTTTTCAGGCTGTTTTCCGGCAACCAAACAGACAAAATACAATTGGGTTTTCCATTTTCTATTCTGCGAATTGATTGGAGGAATTCATTGAAGAAACAAGCAAGAAAAGAAGCTAACACAACGAACCGTTGGCTCGACTTCAATGAAGGCGGTGGAAGCAGCACGAGCAGTAATTGCGGCGAAAGAGCGTCTGAAAACCGGTGCGGTGCAAGGCCTGAGCTTAACAACACAGGGCCTCGAGTTACCGAGTCGACTCAGAAGAAACGCGGGGGTGAGGTTGCCAATCAACGTCGCCATAAGAGCTCTCTGTTTTGGTTTGTGGTGGGTTCTGAGTGTGCGTGCTTGTTTTGAGTGCGAGTGTTTTTATAGAATAAGATTGGATTACTAACATGAGATTAGTTTAAGTTTGTTTTAAGAACGTACTTAGCATGTCCCGACAAATCTCCGAATATTTTTCATAACGGCCTGCAATTTGTTCTGTGTTCTTTCCTCTCGGACTGTCCTACTTGCAACATTTGCAATCGACCATCAGATAGCACGGGGTCCACACGTGTCGATGATCAATTTCAATTGGCTCGGTTTGGTCGGGTGACAGTTGATCGATTTATCGTCACTCACGTCTTGCCACAATGCTTAATTTGAGAAACTTTTACAAGTTCTTGTGAACTTTTTTTTTTTTTTTTTTTTTTTTCGAAACCCTAGCAATTCAATTGAAGAAATAGGGCACAAAGCCAGATTACATCAATAAGTTCGCAAACTTATTAGATTGTGAATTTAAACCATTAGTCACATGAAACATTGTTTGAATGTGTTGCTCAAACTAATTTGAGAAATCATGGGTATAATTACTAATTAAAATGTTGGATATTAAGAGAGATTTCAAATTTGAGACAACTTAGACAATACAATTGATTGATCACTAAAATAAAGCATGCTTATTGAATAATGAAAAAGCGTTTATGGCTCTTAACACATCCTCTCTCTAACCCTAGCAGAGAAACAAAAACCCTTAAGCACCGCACCTTAGAGGGGAGGTGGTCTGCCCCTCCTCCCCTCCCCTCCTCTTCCTCCTTCTTCCTCCTTGAAACACAGTTCTCCCCTTCTCCCCATTTTTCCAATTTGGTGGGATGAAGACCATGGGCATGATTTCCCATATCACCACCATCTTTACCCCTCAGATCTTGCTCCATACATACCCAGAATCTATGGCTCATCTAGTTTCCTTCATCTCCCCTTTGATCTGGCCTCATCATCCTTGGTTTGCAGTTGCAAACTTTGAACGCGCTTTGACGTGTATTTATTGGAAGGTGTGTAAAGCTTTAGCTCGGGTGCTTGCACCACCTCCTTTCAGGTTCTTGGTTCTTTTCCTCCTAGCTGTGGAATGAGTTTGCTCATTCTTGTTTTGTTGGCTGCAATATTTTGAATGTATTGGTTGGGTTAATTCTGGATCTGTTAGTGAATCTCGGGTGGGCTATGTTTTGAGGGATGTTTGGCTTGGTTTGCTGACCTACGGGTATTTGGTTCCTCATGGTGGTGATTGGTGGTTTGTCCATCTACAGTCATGGAATTTCTCTTTGCTGGTGGCGGCGTCTCGGAGTTTTTCTTTGGTTGCAGTGGCGGCTATGTTTTTTGTGCTTTATTTTATGTATTTTATGTTTAATGTGGGCTTTATGCTGGATGTGGGTGTAATGCCTCGTTGTGGGCTATATGCCTTTATGTGGGCTAAATGCCTCTTTGTTGGCTCTTGACGTTTTAGGTTTTGGCTCAGGAACATGATCTTCATGCTAAACTGTACTGGTTTTAGCTAGATTTGTTCATATTTGTTGTCTGTTAGCTTTATGACCGGTTCTTTTGCTCGGCTTTGTTTGTACTGTTCTCTATCCTTACTCCACTCAACACAATCATCAAATAAGACATTATGAATAAAATCACAAGGTATCCCAAAAGAAACAAAGCTAAACTTGCTAGTCTATGCGCCACGGAATTTGTCTCACGAGGGGAGATTCAAATAGACTAGCTAAACCCCTCCTCCACTGATTTACATCTTATGTGACCGTTGAATGATAATACTAATTACAATATTGTTCTTGCTTTATCAGTTTAATACTTTGTCCTAGGCTTCAAATAGGTCATGGTCAATTATGAACAAGTCGGTATAATGTGGATGCAGAAGAGTATCAAAAAGAAGGAGTGACTTATATTCTAGCATTGAATTTGAACACATTACAAATCATCAATGACCCAATATTTATAGGAGTATCACCAAACCAAATGCATAAAGATAAAAAACAAACACACCTTGACATTAAAATTGAACTACATACAAATCTGGTTAACATCCCTTAATCCAGATTTAGTTATCTTTTCCATACTCATCATTCTCTTCAGCTGGGTAAAAGTTTTGCAACTTCATCTCTTTTTATTCAATCGATCAACATTGATTTTGCCTTTCCCAAATCAATAGGTAAAATGTTTGACAATAGAAGTTTATGTTGGCCAATAAACTTCAACATGAATGCATATATGTATTTTACACCAAATTTATTGGCAATAGCACTTGAAGATATGCAACCACATACTCTGCTTCACAAGTGCAACCCAAAAAAAGTATTATTATAAAATAAAAATAGAAATAAAAAGCAGCAGCAAAAGGTTGTTTTTCTTTGGAGGACCAAGAAAATGTGATGGAGCCAAAATGAAAAATATATCCTTTATGTGCTTTACAAAATGTCTGCAAGCACCCATGTGTTATTTCTGCATTGCCTTTATCCCTTTTCATATAGCTTACCCCTTTGTCACTTTGAGTCACTTTGAGTCACTTTCAAATGTAATCATGCAAGGATTTAGCATATGGGTGAGGTGGGTTGTAGCCCACCCCATTTCAGCAAGGCCAAGAAAAAATGCTCATAGTTTCCTAGCAAAATATAGCCCCTAATAATATATATATGATGTTATCTTTGTATGTAAGTTGAGGATGTGGAAATGAATAATATAACCTTTAACACACTATAAATTTCGAAAATGTCATAAAATAAAGGAGATTTTGTCAAAATTTGAGAAGAATTGTTAAAATTCTGAGTCCGTGCTTGAATATAATGAGATTACAATAGACTAACTCTTCCCGAGCTTATAGGCATTGAGTGGAAGCTATCGGCAGTAGGGCTCTATTTTGAGACTCTTGAGTTTCATTTTGATCAAGAGCAATTTAGGATGGTGAATTGACTTGTTCTGTGATGATGTGGTTGATAAAGTATGATTGAATTTAGAATTATATTGAAAAGTCTGAACTTATGGACCTAATTTACAATCGGTGATTGAACAACTAATTTATCCATTGTGTAATTTACTATTTTAAGTGCCCCTGCCGACAAATTAATTAGTTGATTGAAAAATGCTGTTTAGTTATCATATTATTCTCATCAAATGAAATTCCTTCCTTCCCTTTGAATGATCAACAGTGTAAGTGTTGCCTCCCTTGCATATCAATGAACCGTATTTCTTTAATCCTTTTGATAATCTACATCGCCAATGTACAAATTAACCATTAGGGGTTATACGTTGACGATCGCTTCGAATAAATTTTAATGAATTATTTTGATATATATGTCAAATTTTGATTTGAAGAATGAAGGAATAATGACTCTCTTCAAAAATAGGAGTCGAGTAATGCTCAAAGCTAAATACACTTTGCACGCAACATACAAAATTAGAACTGTTTAGGTGATTATTGTGGTTGGAATCATAATTAGATTAATTGAACCACACTAATTGTAGTTTCTCCTAACCCCATGATCCTAACATTAATTCATCAATTAAATTGCACGAGGGGGTCACTAATCATGCAATAGCTATATCAAACAAAATAAAAATTCACAATTTCAAAATAAAGAAAGTAGATAAAATCATGATTAGTACATGGCATGGTCTTTTTGGTGGGATATTAATATAATTGGAACTTGGATTAGCAAACCAAATAGTATTTTACTTGACACTGAGGGACAGCTGTGCTGCTAATTATGATCAATGTATGTTATACTTGTCAACTAATGACCATGATGATATTCATAGTTAAACTTAAATAGCAACACATAATATTATTTAATGGGGGAAGATGGAAGAAACTATAGAAAATCTTATAAACCTAGGAAACACTAACCTTATAGCATCTTTAAGGAAACCCTAAACCTCAAATTCTTGTTTCTTGGGTACGTTCCAAGTTAGGTTGCATTCCATTGTGGGACATATCATTATTTTTCACACTTGGTTGGGTCCATATCTTTCTTCCCCCCATTTTTAAAATTCCTCTTCACCTTCACCTCTGACTTGGTAATGATGAATGCAATACATGGGTCCCCAACCCAAAGGGAAGGTAACAAGCAAAATTTTCAACATACATTGTCCTTGTTTTTTCTTTTTCTTTTTCGTATGTTGGGGGAAATAATGAAATATAATTTGTTTACTTGTCTGGTGGAGCTAAACAATCTAACAGTGTCAGTTATCTATGTGTATACGTTTGAGCGATTTATAATTGTTGATTGATGTGAATTTCACAATAAGTTTCAAAGTGATCAATAATTACGAATCGTCCATACATAATCCTAAGATTGGGGAAGGTAAAGCTTAAGGAGAAAAAACACACAAGAGAGAGATATGATGAAAAAATTGTAAGTCTCAAACAAAATAAAAATTCACAATTTCAAAATAAAGAAAGTAGATAAAATCATGATTAGTACATGGCATGGTCTTTTTGGTGGGATATTAATATAATTGGAACTTGGATTAGCAAACCAAATAGTATTTTACTTGACACTGAGGGACAGCTGTGCTGCTAATTATGATCAATGTATGTTATACTTGTCAACTAATGACCATGATGATATTCATAGTTAAACTTAAATAGCAACACATAATATTATTTAATGGGGGAAGATGGAAGAAACTATAGAAAATCTTATAAACCTAGGAAACACTAACCTTATAGCATCTTTAAGGAAACCCTAAACCTCAAATTCTTGTTTCTTGGGTACGTTCCAAGTTAGGTTGCATTCCATTGTGGGACATATCATTATTTTTCACACTTGGTTGGGTCCATATCTTTCTTCCCCCCATTTTTAAAATTCCTCTTCACCTTCACCTCTGACTTGGTAATGATGAATGCAATACATGGGTCCCCAACCCAAAGGGAAGGTAACAAGCAAAATTTTCAACATACATTGTCCTTGTTTTTTCTTTTTCTTTTTCGTATGTTGGGGGAAATAATGAAATATAATTTGTTTACTTGTCTGGTGGAGCTAAACAATCTAACAGTGTCAGTTATCTATGTGTATACGTTTGAGCGATTTATAATTGTTGATTGATGTGAATTTCACAATAAGTTTCAAAGCGATCAATAACTACGAATCGTCCTTACATAATCCTAAGATTGGGGAAGGTAAAGCTTAAGGAGAA